TAGATTTGTTGGCTGAAACAGGCAAGCTTAGAGCTAGACCGATTGATATTCCCATTGAGCAGAACCATAAGCTTAATGATATAGATGGAGACCCATTAGATGATGTGGGAAAATTTCAGCGATTGGTTGGGAGACTAATTTACTTATCTTTCACACGCGTGGAATAGGAAAAGGGGTTGTGAAGAAGAACAGCCATGTTTGGCTACGTGGTTATGCTATTCCAATCCTGGTTTACTAAAACCAGGATAGCAGAGACCTGGTTTTGATCCAGACCAGTTCGCCCAGGTTCGATCCGGTTGCCAGATCCGACCCGACTACAGATCCGCCCCGACTGTAGATTCGGCTAGACTACAGATCCGGCTCGGATACAGATTCTGCAATTTTTTTTTTCAGGTTCGTTTTTTTTATCTTCTCTATGGCTGCCAGTTCAGACCTGTTATCTTCTACCTCCTTCAATCCTCCCATGACTTCAGTCAAGCTTAATGGCAAAAATTACATTTTATGGGCCAAGTCAGTAGCCATTTTCCTGAAAGCCAAAGGCTTTGGCACTCATTTGGTCAAGGATAAACCCAAAGCCAGTGATGCTGATTTCAGATCATCTCCTTAATGCTGAATTGTATTGAACCCCATATTAGCTCCAACTTGTTATATCTGGACGCTGCCAAGGAGATATGGACCCGACTCCAACAATTAGACTCAGGTACTGGTAATATAACCAGAATTTATGAGGTGTGTAGACAATTTTTTGACCTCCAGTAAGGGACTCACAGTTTAGAAGAATACCTCTCACGGGCAATGGGACTTTGTGAAGAAATGAACTTGTATCAACCCATCACCTCTGATGTGAAAAGCATGTAACAACAACGTGAGGATTTTAATGTTGTTCGGGTTCTCACAGGATTGTCACAAGAGTATAAACCTGTTCGAGCACAGATTTTGGGTAGCCCTGCACTTCCCTCTCTTCCTGATATGTTATCCAGACTCTAGCGTGCTACTTTATCTAGTGGTGTTTCAGGGGGTGCTTCGAGTGGTGTCACTGCTCCTCCTTGTAGTGAACGTTCTGCCCTAGTTGTGAACCAAGGTGGCTTTCAGTCTTCTCGTGGCGGTGGTGGTCGTTTTACTCGTGGTCGTGGTCGTTGCAGAGGCAGAGACTCAAAACTTTGCACTCACTACGGTCTTACTAATCACACTGTCAATTACTGTTGGGATCTTCATGGGAAACCACCACCTTCTTCCTATGCACATCAAGTGACTTCTTGCCACACCCACTGCTCCACATGTGGCTGTTGAGACTACTATGCTCACGATTCCCTGTGAAGAGTATGCTCAGTTTCTGTCTCAACAACGGCCTTCCACCTCATCTTCCATGGGGTCCTTTGCCCAATCAGGTAGTGCCCCTGTATGTCTTTTGTCCTCTAGTCAGAGTCCTTGGATTCTTGACTCTGGAGCATCCGATCACGACTGGTAGTTCTCATCTCTTATCTGATTTTCAGTCTGTTCCTTCCTCTCAAACTGTTACTCTTGCTAATGGATCATCAACTAAAGTTTTGGGTTTGGGAACTATTCATCTTACCTCTTCTATGTCCCTTTCCTCTGTGTTATATGTTCCTCAATTCCCTTTTAATTTGTTGTCCATTAGTAAACTTACTAAATCTCTTAACTGCTCCGTTACATTTTATCCCACATGTTGTCTTTTTCAGGATCTCAAGACGAAAAAGAGGATTGGTACAGGACATGAAGTAGGTGGCTTGTATTACTTCGATCTTGCACCATCTCCCACGGCTCTTCAATCATCTTTGTCGTCTTTCCAGTTGCACTGTCGTCTCGGCCACCCATCATTATCAGTTTTGCAGCGTCAAGTCCCTGGTCTTAGTCGTATTAAGTCCATGTCTTGTGAAACATGTCAGCTTAGTAAGCATTGTCGTGTATCTTTCAAACCGAGAGCTAATAGTGTTGCTAGTCCTTTTCAGTTAGTTCATTCAGATGTATAGGGACCAATAAAACATATTTCTATTAATGGATTTTGTTATTTTGTGACTTTTGTGGATGTGTGTGTTATGTCCATAACCTTGGACCCAGTCTTGATAAACTCGACCCTTGTGCCACTAAGTGTGTTCTTCTTGGGTACTCTCGCCCTCAAAAGGGCTATCGTTGTTACAATCCTCATTTTCAACGCTATTTCACTAGTGCTGATGTCTCATTTTCTGAGTCTCTCTTATATTTTTCTGATTCTACTACTCCTCTCGATATTACTTCTGAGCCACCTATCCCAACGGTTCCCTCTCTATTTCCTGCTTTCGCACCTCCTCACTCTAGTGTCCCATTACAGGTTTATACTCGATGACCTCGACTGCCTACTTCGCTCCCTCCATCTCCTTCAGAGTCTTCATATCCGACGCCTTTACGTAATGATTTGCCTATTGCTCTCCGTAAAGGTATTCGGTTGTGTGTTACTGCACATCCCATTTCTAACTTTGTTTCCTACCGTCATATTTCATCCTCTTTATCTTGTTTTTTATCCAAAGTGTCTGCTACTTTTGTTCCCAAGACTTTGCTGGATACTCTCTCTTATTCGGGTTGGCGACAAGCCATGATAGATGAAATGGATGCCCTTTACCGTAATCGAACATGGGATCTTGTTCCCTTACCTCTGGGCTCTAAAACAGTTGGTTGTAAGTGGGTCTACACAGTTAAATACCTTCACGATGGGTCTATTGAGTGGTTGAAGGCTCGTCTAGTGGCAAAGGGGTACACTCAGACTTATGGTGTTGATTATGATGACACTTTTTCCCTTGTTGCTAAGATTTCTTCTATTCGAGTTCTTATTTCCATTGCTGCCAATTGTAACTGGTTGTTATTTCAATTGGATGTCAAAAATGCCTTCTTACATGGTGACTTGGTTGAAGAAGTTTATATGGAGCAACCACCTGGGTTTGTTGCTCAGGGGGAGTATCGTCACACTGTTTGTCTCCTTAAAAAGGCCCTGTATGGATTGAAACAATCTCCACGGGCTTGGTTTGGAAAATTCTCTGAGGCGGCATTAGAATTTGGTCTTAACAGATGTCAGACCGATCATTCAGTATTTCACCTGCGCCCTAACGTTGGCTTCATTTTTCTTGTGGTGTATGTAGATGATTGTGATCACAGGTGATGATTCTGAAGGCATTGCTAAGTTGAAATTGTTTCTGCAAAATCGATTCCACATTAAAGACTTGGGTAAACTTAGGTACTTCTTGGGTATTGAAGTTGCTAGATCCAAGGAGGGTATAAGTTTATCTCAATGAAAATATGTGTTGGACTTGCTAGAAGAAACAGGTATGTTAGGTGGTCGTCCGGTTGATGCTTCTATGGATTCAAATACAAAACTTGTGTCTGATGAGGGTGATCTATTTAATGACCCGGGTAGATTTCGTCGCCTTGTTGGGAAATTAATTTATCTCACTATCACTCGACCTGATATTTCATATGCAGTTAGTGTTGTAAGTCAGTTTATGGGAGCTCCTAGAATGCCACATTGGATTGCTATTCTTCGGATTATTCGAAATCTCAAGCAAGCTCCAGGTTTTGGGTTACTATACAAATCAAATGGTCATCTCAGGGTGGAAAGTTTTACAGATGCTGACTGGGCTGGTTCTCCTTCAGATAGGAGATCTATTACAGGCTACTATACATTTATAGGAGGAAATCTTGTTACATGGAAAAGTAAAAAACAAACGGTGGTAGCTCGATCTTGTGCTGAAGCTGAGTACAGGGCAATGGCCCATACCGCTAGTGAGTTGACATGGATACAACATTTTCTAAAAGAACTTGCGTTGACAGTTGAAGCTTCTACTCCATTGTTCTGTGATAATCAAGTAGCTGTTCACATTGCATCAAATCCTATGTTTCATGAGAGGATCAAGCATATTGAGGTTGATTGTCACTTCATTCGAGAAAAAATATTAAGTGGGAGCATTTTTACTCCATTTGTGAAGTCTGAAGATCAACTAGCTGATATGTTAACCAAAGCACTGGGTCATAACTGGTTAAGGAATATCTCTTCCAAGCTGGGGTTATTTGATATATATTCTCCAGCTTGAGGGAGAGTGTTAGAATGTTTATGTATATATATATATTTATGTTGGGTCATTATGTAATTACCCATAGTAGTTAGGATTATTGTGTAATTAAGAAACATTGTGTAATTAGGTTATAACTCTTTTCCTTTATATAAGCCTCATTTGGCTTAAGGGTAATACACAATATATTGATACAGAATACTCTTTCTCTCTCTCTCTCTCTCATGAATTAGAACAGAAAACTTAAAACTTGATTCTAGGAACATTATATGCATGTCTAGAAAAACTTTAAAATGATTCCTCACTCAGCCCATAATCAATCCTAAGGTCATTACTTGGAACCTATTCAATTGATTGAATATGTTGATTTCACCTTTTTGCTCATTGTGTCTGATTTGTCTATGTAGAACATCTCTGTCTTGTCATAGTTGTAATCTCTGACTTAACTTGAGATACTCTTGAAACATTTGTCAATACTCTCCTTGTCTTTTTGTTGAAATCTCTTTCTTGATTCTACAATACTCAGATATACTTGACATGTCATGTTTGCCTTGTCTTTGCTAAAGTGCTCTGTGTGACTCAAACAATACAATGACATACTGATCATAGTTTTGATGAGAATATGCCAATGCATAAAATATTTTCGTAACACAAGGAACCCCCTTTAAGTAGCTTGTTAGTGCATCATAAATATTTGATTGTTTATTAGGCTAACTTTCTTATGGTTAAACTTGTTAACTCCGTTTAGATTTGGGATGTGATTATATCATCAAACTAGGTTCCGAGATGTTTCTTTATCCATATTAAGTGTAACATGTTCTAATTACTTGATTCTTAGGGGTGTTTCCTGTTGTTAAAGTTGGACAAACTGTACATGAACGTCTTTGAGAGTTTTGATGTGCCAGATTGTGTAGACTGATCTAAATGTCTGATTTTATGCAGATCTTTTCTTTGTGGTGGATCAACTGGCTTGTTTATCTATGCCTACTCGTTCTACTATTTCTATGCCGTATCACATATGTATGGTTTCTTGCAAATCTCCTTCTTCTTTGGTTACATGGCTTGCATCTGCTATGGCATCTTTCTCATGCTTGGGACTGTGGGTTTCCATGCTGCTTTGCTCTTTGTTCGTCAGATCTATGGGTCTATTAAGTGTGACTAGTCGACTAGTTCTTTTTCTGAATATTCTTCCCTTATTTTTGTTCGTGACATCTATGGGTCTACCAATTTTATTGTTAGGATAGTTTTATGAGTACTCCAAACTACAAAAGCCAAAGAATCAAAGTTCTAAACATGCCTTCTGGAAATTGGGTCTTTCAAGATTTTTTATGCTGCTTGTACTACAAGGTTTATTTAATTTATTTTGGGTGCTATCTGTAATCTGAGAGAATTTTTATGGGGGAGGAAAGCTTGTACAGTTAAACATATCTTCACTCTCATAATGAACTCTTGTGAATTATAGTTGGCAAATTTTGTCACTAGTCTTAATGCAGTAAGTCCTCCCTTTTTCCAGAAAAAGAAGAACAATTTTCTAACTTCTTCCGTGCATTATTTTAGAGGGCCGAGCAAACATGATATGCTCACACATTTCTACAAACACATAAATGCTGGAGGAAAAAAAGCTTTCACTTTCCTACATGATCTGCACATCTGTTTGGGTTTTTAATCTTCTATTTAACCTTTCTTATTGTCAAATTACTCTGTTCCTTCTGAAATTATTATTATTATTATTTTTTTATTTTGCAGAGAATGAGATTTTTTCTTTTCTTTTCCTTATGTGGAGATGCAATGAATAGATAATAGCAATTTCATTCTATGATTGTTGCTAATGGTCTAAATGTTATGGTTCTTAGTTTGTTTGAAGGGGGTTGGGGACATGAAACTTGTTACACTAGTATTGTATTGTACATGAATTATGTTACATTGTTGGATATGGAGTTGAGTATGACTCAGATCTATAATAGTTATGCCATCGAAGCCCTAGAATGGCTTGTAGCATTTCCTAAAGTAAAGGAGCAGACCTACCGGAAACCCACGAAGAAAGAAGTGGTTCACCTTGCCGCACTCTTCTCTTCCTTGACGTAACTATGCCCTAATTACATATTCTAATTAACAAGTCATTTTCTTCTCTTCTAACTTAGTCTGGGAATAGGGGAGGCGAAGGAAGTTTCTCTTTTTCCTTGAAAAGCAGCAAGCGGGTGAACGAATAACCGATTGAACTATAGCCACTCTATATTGAAAACATGGACCCCGAAGAATAATTCAACTTTAATTATGACTATATGAATTGCGATCTGCTTTGAACCTCCTTAAAGGTTATGCCTTATGGATTTAGATCAAGAAGAAGCTTGTATTGTCACATATAGCTTCATTTACTGGAGAAAAACTTATTTCTTAAAAGGCACAACCTTTAAGTTATCCACTATGCAATCTCTTGTTGGATATACTGAATTAATGATAAATCTCTATTCCACATTTGATTGATCCAGGAAAATTGTCAGGAACCCTTCTACTTGACCTTGATCGACGAAAATTGAGTTGAGAACCCTTCTACTTAACCTTTCCACACACACAAAAACACAGAAGTTTCTTATATTTACAATATGAATTTCCATTTCTTGATGACGGAGTGATGAAAGTTTGTATGTTTTTAGCTTCTAAGTTATATCGTTTATCTAACCATTAGTTCTAATATGAGGGTATGCCATATCTGGTTTGAAAGACAGACTTTGTGAATTTAACTGGCACTTTTCCTTTGCCCGGCTCTTTTTTTTTTTTTTTTTTTTGCAGAGAATGATAATTTTTTTTTTCTTTTCCTTTTGTGGAGATGTAATGAATAGATAATATCAATTTCATTCTATGATTGTTGCTACTGGTTTAAATGTTATGGTTGCTAGTTGTTTGAGGGGGTTGGGGACATGAAACTTGTTATACTATTATTGTATCGTTCATGAATTATATGTTACATTGTTGGATATGGAGTTGAGTGTGACTATATGAATTCTGAGTAGGTGGTATGCAAAGTGTGTTTGAAATTGGAAGTGGTGTGTACCATTTAACATGGTGAATGCTAGACATGCTTTAACTTGAACTTGAGGGGGGGAAAGAATGACCAGAGAGGGATCATGAAGAACGTGCGTGACGGTTCCATGCCAATAGTTCATCTTGAGAATGGCACAAATTCAAATGTGTAGTGAGGGGCCTTTGTGGCCATTGTATTGGATTTTGTTTTTGAAGGCCAAATGAAAATGGTTCTGCCAATTGTGTAGGGTTAATTTTAGCATTGTATTCCTGTTGGAGGACTGCCATCAGTGGCCTTTCTTTGGGTGGATGGCAGTGTCTGGGAAGATTTTGGCCATCTATAACCGGCTGAAGGGGAGACAACAATCAATTGTTGTTGTATGTGTTAAGATGAATGAGGAAATGGTTGGTACCTGGCTTAGGCGAACCATCTAAAGGTGACAAAAATGTGCTTGCAGTTAGGGTTAGCACTCTTCATTTGGTCTGAGGTCCACAACCCGCCCAGAAAGGGCAGATCCGAGCCTAATAATGGACTGGCCTGCTTCAGTCCTTCAACTTCGCAGATTTAGGCTTTGACTAGTCCCACTGAGGCTTGAACCTTCCCTTTGGAGAGATGGGCTTGTACCAGCTGGGCTATTGCCCATTTGGTACTAGTCAATCGGTGTGGTATGTGTAAAGGGAAGATGAAATAATTGGTACGAGACTCTTGCAAAATGGATTTACCCATGATGGGGATTGGGGGTGGCTTTGTATGACGACCGTAGGGATTAGTCTTGCTCCAAGAGAAATCAGTTGCAGAGAGGGGAATTGTGTGAATATGATAGAAGAGGGTATTCATTTTTATAGCAAAAATAGATGATTCTAATTTTTCAACATATTGAAACAATATACAATATTTAAGAGTTGGCTCATGTGTATAGGAAGAAAAGTAGGATCTAAGAATGAGAGGCTTATATCTCAGCATCAATCTCCAGCAACAACTCATGGGGTCCAAAAATGGAGGCAAAGTGAAAGCCTTTGATCTGAGGAAGCTGAGAGATCTTCTCCAACTCTTCCTCGGTTAACGACCAGTCGAAAATTTCAAGGTTTTGCCTCATCCTCTCCTTGTTGAAGCTCTTTGTTACCAAACTCACCCCCTGTTCATACACCCATCTCAAAGAAACCTGCAAGGTATAAGCAATGATCAGTTGCTTCATTGCATGTTCACACACACACAAGTTGTATTTCAAGACAACATATGTAATTTTCTATGGGAGTCCTCCAAGAAATATGTGTAAAAGTTATACAAGTGGGGAGGTACCAAGGCACTTGGGACATGTTTTATTTTTTGTTTGTTCTTCTGGTTTTATTCATGACTTCTAGTTGCAGCTATTTGTAGCTATGACCCTATGAGTGAGCTAGTTGAATATTATGTCAAGGAATGAACTAATGTGTAAGCATCTCTGTTAATAATGGTAATGACACATTCATTATAATAAGTAAAAGTAAAAATTGGTATGATAAAAGATGGATTTTGAAACAACTTGATGAAAATGTCACTTTTCATTTTGCCCTTTTAGGTAAAAACACAGCTCTCACAGGAGAAATACTTTATTGGGCTTGTAACGGACATATCCGAACCATTTGTGTAATGCATATGTCCATGCGTTTATTACACACGCCTTCTATGAACGGTTAGGTGCACCCGTTGCACACACAATAAAGTTTTTCTCCTCCCACGGTTCCAGATACTCTGTAACAGTTTGTGATTAACTGGGAGCACAAGGCGATCTAATAATTTCGCTATCTCAGACCAAATCTCTTTTCTTTCTTATGTTATCTATTTCTATGCATTTTTTTTTTTTTTCATTTAATCAAAGAAACATTTTGAACTATATACAACATTGCTCATGTTATATAGTATATACAATGTGGTAGGAAACAAATTAAGAAAGTTATACAAACCTGAGCAGTGGTCTTCCCTCTAGCCTTGGCGATCTCCTCTATGACATTGCACTCAACAACTCTGTTGTCTCCCCACTTGGTCCCATTTGCACCCAAAGGTGAGTATGCAGTGACATGGATACCCTTTGCGATACAGAACTCCCTGATTTGCTTTTGATGCCAAACTGGGTTCATCTCCAGCTATTCATATATAGCCAATAACCCATCATAAATATATGTACCAATTACTTAATGTGCACACATATACACTATGTGAAATGACTAATGATATGAAAATCGATCGGATTTTGTTGCGACTTCAACAAATAGAGTTACTTGAATTTTGTTGCAATTTCAATAAATAGAGTGACTTTTTGTCAGTAAAAGATAAAAATAAACTCTCTCTCATCTTTTAAGTATTTGTCACATTAATCGATACAATACCCTGATCGAACAGGGTTTTGCTGTGATTCCACTAAATAAAGTTATTCGGCTTTTGTTGTGATAGAATGACTATTTGTCAGTAAAAGATAAGAATGAACTCTCTATTATATTTTTAATATTTCTCACGTTTATCAATACAAAATCGTGATATACATTTATATCATTTTTCGTGAAAATTTGAACAAGCTTTTGAGATGTGACTCACTTGATTGAGTGCAGGAGGGATTTTGGCAATTGAGAGAAGCTCCTCAAGCCTCCAGACACAGAAATTACTGACCCCAATGCCCTTGGTGAGGCCCAATTTTTGACATTCTTCCATGCCTTCCCACACTGACTTGATATCCAAAGGTTGTATGCATTCTTTTGGAACTGGGGTTTGTTTGATGTTTTGGCTCAATTTAATTGGCCAATGTATCAGATACATATCAACATAATCCAACTGAAGGTTCCTACATAAGATAAGGAAATATAAATAAATAAATTAGCTATGCCAAAATAAATATTGGTATTGTCCGAATAATAAAGGATAAGACTTGTAGTGTTTCTACCCTATTAATCTTACAATTATTTGTTTCTGACCTCTCGGCAGTTTTTACTTTTTACCCATCGATAAAATTTTGGGCAAAATGTGATCAACCTATGCAGTTTGGCAAAAATCATAAATTCCTTACTTTTTTGGACAAAAATGTGGACGGCCTCTCTTTGTCTTTTTGGCAAAAATAAAAAATTTCCCTTTACTGTCAAGGGGCCGTTAAAGGCGTTAAAATATTCAAAGTGAAATACCAATATGACCCTAATGTGTAATTTAATTACAAAATTAAGTAATTTGAATGTCTGATATACCCCGCAATGGTATGCTGAAAATGCCCTCAAGCCATAACAATTTTAATTTACAAGATTTAAAATTATAGATAGATGCATACATTATTTTACTTACATTAAAATTTAATTTGCAAAGTTTATAAATTAACTAAAATTATATCAATGTTTTGTTAGTATCAAGTATTTAGTATGTACTAGCACATTACATGAGGTCAAAAATTCACCCAAATGTTAAAAAATGAAATAAAATCCAAAACTTTTAAGTATTTATCCTGTCTAAAACCTCATGTTTGTTTTTATCAGGTCTACAATTCTCAGCTCCCTCCATGGATAACATTCAAAATTCCCTTTCTACCCCCACCCAGCCGCAGGCAGAAGAAAATGATACACTTCACTCCCATTCGAATAACATCACACTCCACAGTTTTTGTTTTTATTTTTTATTTTTTATTTAAAAAAAAAAAAAAAAACCCTCTTGCACTCCACTTTGTAAGCAGGCACGGATGCATTGTAGGCTCAATGGAGACATCTGTTCTCACTGAAATTTTTTGTTCTTACACTTTACACCCTTAAATTTAAACTTTTTTATATTTATATTTATAAATTTTTTAAGTTACTCCCACTAAAATTATGAAAAAACCCTTCTATATAAATTCCGCCCTCATATGAATTTCTAGATCCATCCAGTTTGCAGGAGTAATTTTGTTATATGAAAATCCAAGTGGATACATTCAATTTATACAGATATATGTACTGTGTGTGTTTAGAGGACTTACTGGAGGCTCATTTTGATGTTGGGGACGACGAGGTCACGTTCAGCAAAGGTGCTAAAGAGCTTGGTTGTGATGAAGAGCTCGTCGCGAGACTTGACGAGACCAAGACGCAGAGCTTCAGCTACTGCTTCGCCCAAAGGCTTCTCGGAGCCGTAAGTGAAGGCAGTGTCGAAGTGGCGATAGCCGGCCTTAATGGCTTCGATAACTGCAGCTTTCGTGGTTTCAGGATCAACAGGAGGGTATGAGGATGTGCCCATTCCTATCACGGGCATGCTCACTCCACAAGACCCCAAACTCACCTCTGGAATTTTCATTGCCATGTATGTGATTTTTTTTTTTTTGCAGCTTCGAATCAAACTAGTAGAGAAACGTACTCTTTGGTCTTGATGATGACACCCTTCAACAAGTATCTAATGTGTAGTTGTTTTTATATAGACTATTGGTTTGGGTTGTTGAATTGTAATTGGTTACGTGGTTCAATGTAAGCAAAAGTTGGACTTGGTCATTATGACCAAAATTGATTATCCAAGACTTTTCAAACATGTACGATTGGGACTAGGAAAAGTGATATGATTGGAGAAGGAACATGGATTCCCTCCGTGGAGAGGTACGATACAAAAATTACAATATTATTAATGGATCTCATTTATCAATTTATTTTCTACCACTAAATATTGCGTTGAACTTTTTTTGTGCTGAAAAAAAATACTTATCCTTGGAGAAAAAAGAGGAGGACCAAAGGAAGAAAAATAGCGGTTGGATTAAATTAACTGACACTATAATTTTAAATAGAACAAAATAAAAACATGAAATTTGTAGCCGATCTCAACTTATTATTGTATTATTAATAGAGTTTGACAAATTTTTTTGGAATGGGGAGTTGCACATATGATGATATATCTAATGGTGAATTATGTAATATTTAAAAAATTCTGATGAGGAGTTGTATACACGGTGAATTATGTAATATTTAAAAAAATTCTGATATCACCACCACCGAGGTTTTGTTGGCTTTTCGATATCTGGCATTTTGTTAGGTCTGTCAAATACTTTCTCCCCCATATTTAAGAGAACGAGTTGGAAGAATTGTCGTCTTTTTAAATTATTAAGTTATTCTTTAAACTTTAAATATATAAAACTTCAAGTTGAAAGATTTTAAAAATGTTAGAAAGATAATTATAAAAATATTACATTTAATTTGACCTTTTATATAATATTATAGTCCACCAATCTTCAATTTTTTTTTTTTTTTTTTCTCTGAAAATTTAAATGCTCCGCATTGATGGTGGGGGCAGCCCCCAACTTTATATATATATACAAAATTATCTATAACTTTTGTTAAAATTTTAAATATATCCCTACTCAATATTTGATACTAGGACAAATTACATCTAGGAGCCACGGGATTTACATATTGTGCACTAAAATAGAAGTATGAACAATATTACAATAAGGTACAAATTGAATATGAAAGTAAATTTATATATATGACCTTAAAGTACTCAACCATTATTTAAAAGAAAAATCTGGAAGAAAGTTGATGAGATAACTTACGTTTTTACGCCTTAAGACACTTGACCATTATTTAAAAGAAAAATCTGAAAGGAAGTTGATGAGATAACTTATGTTTTTACCCCTCATCGTATGCAACTCAATTTGGCGGTAAACAATAGAGCAATTTGGAACATGAATGTTTGTTGGCACTGGTACTTGAGAATTTATATGATGAATATTTATGACTTTTTTTTTCTTTTTTTTTTTTATTTAAAAAAAGATAATATTTATGACTTGTTAATTTGTACATGTTGGTGAATTAGTAAGGATAATATAATATATTCTATCACAGTTCAAAAAAATATATTCTATCAATATATTTGGTTGTTTCTTGAAAACAACCAAATCAGACCAAGCAAGAAAAGAATAGAAAATAATTCAAAGGTATTTTTAGATATTTTTTGAAGTGTGGTAGAATATATTATATTATCTTTACTAATTCACCAACATATACAAATTAACAAGTCATAAATATTATCTTTCAAAAAAATAAAAAAAGTCATAAATATTCATCATATAAGTTCTCAAGTACTTGTGTCAACAAGCATTCATCTTCCAAACTGCTCTATTGTTTACCGCCAAATTGAGTTGCATACGAAGAGAGATAAAAACGTAAGTTACCTCATCAACTTCTGTCCAAATTTTTTTTTTAAATAATGGTTAAGTGCCTTAAGGTCATATATGTAAATTTACTTTCATATTCAAAAATCAATTAGTCAATTTGGACCTTATTGTAATATTGTCCATACTTCTATTTAAGTGCACAATATGTAAACCATGCGGGTCCTAAATGTAATTTGCCCATGATACTAATATCCTACTTTATATATCCTTGTTGTTCAAGACTGTAATTGCAAAACTGAGAAGTAGCAAAGGGGAACATGCTAGTGGTCCATTCTAATTAAAATGCCAGTAAATTATACGGCTTAATGTCTCTTTACATCTATGAATCCACAAAACATGTTGCTTTTAAGAACAAAACCGCATGGGTTTTACTGGTTTTAAAATCGTCCAACTCGTCGAGGCCAACGATATGTGCGGGAGAGATTTGGTGGTAGTCATGTGGTGTTCGCGTCACGGCAGAAGAGGGATGCAAGTGCGGGAGTGTGAGGTGGTGTGAAGTGAGGCTGTAGGCCGGAGAGAGTATCAGAAAGAAAGCGAGTTCAATAAACAAGTTCCAGAGAGAGAAGAAGTGGGGTATGGAGGAGAAAATAAGAAAGTTCAATAGGGGTATACTTGTCTTTTTCCTTTCTATTTTATTTATTAAAAGAATAAAAAAAAACACAAAGACTTGAGGATAAATGTCCGCATCTCAGGTCGTTTTTCTAACAAGTTTCATTCGAAGTGATTAGTTTAAACTTAAAGGGTGGTCCGAGTAATTTGCCCAAAAAAATAAAAAGCTTTCAATTTGTGTGTGTATATATATATATATATATATATATATATTTGCACTCGCCTTGTACAGTCGTCGTATTGCAAGTTTGCAACATTACAATATTATTAAATCAAAATTTAATATATTTATGTAATAGTTGCATTATTTATTTAAAATTATTCTATTTACAATTTAAAATTATTGCAGTGACAGAATATTTTTTTTCATCATGACAGAGAAAAATGATAAACAAAAGAATCCTAATTCTTCATAGTGCAATTCTTTAATGAAATGCATTAATTTATTCTCATCAATTATTAATATTATTATTAGTTTCCCATCTTGTGAGTACCACTAATTCTTTAGCCGTCATGCATGAGTCACCTAAAATATAATATATAAATATGAATATATATGATTGAATATTTGTTGTGTAAATGTCGACCTTTTTTATGATATATATATATATATAACACTTGGACAATTTTTCAATTCAACCCATCACATTCAATTAGATCAGCTTAGCATGGACTAGCCCCGTCTTGAGTCAAGTAAATTATAATATTATCTTTGTTTGATGGCACATTGAGTTTACTAAATAGATCGGAACCGAACTTTGATTAAGAGGTTGAATTGAATGGCCCGAATAAACATAATAGCGGTGGTGATTATTGTGGGGAGGGTGGTGGTGGTGGTGGGGTTGGGGATGGTGGTTATGGCACCGCTGGTGGTTGAGGGGTGGCGATGATTGTGACTGTTAAGAGATGGGTGTTGCCAGGTACCGTTGATTTTGGTGGTGGTTGTGATACACCATTGGTTGTGGTGAGGGGCGTAGGAGAGAAGCCGTCCCTTAGAAAAGGGTAGAATAGGAAGAGAAAAGAGCAAATTAGGATTTTTAAATTTACTTTATATCAATTTTGATCAAAAAGTGGCTAAAGGAACTTATTTGCACATTTTTTTGTTTTTGAAGTTTATGGACTGAAATGCACCATTGGTTGTGGTGAGGGGCGTAGGAGAGAAGTCGTCTTAAAAAATGGTAGAATAAGAAGAGAAAATGGCAAATTATGATTTTTAAATTTACTTTATATCAATTTTGACCAAAAAATGGTCAGAGGGTTTATTTGCACATTTTGTTTTAAAATTTATGGATTGAAATGCACCATTGGTTGTGGTGAGGGGCGTAAGAGAGAAGCTGTCCCTTAAAAAGTGGTAGAAAAAGAAAGAAAAAATGACAAATTAAGATTTTAAAATTTATTTTATGTCAATTTTGACCAAAAAGTGGTCAGAGTGATTTATTTATATATTTTTTTGAATTTTATGGACTGAAATATATATATATATATATTTTTAAAAAATGACTATTTATGCACAAAACTTATATTATGGAAAGATTTTTCGCACTCAACCCTATATAGACATGAATATACATGATTGAATATGTGTTGGGTAAATGTCTACCCTTTTATGATTTATATATATATATATATATATTTTGGTATACACCACAATTTTCCAATTCAACTCATCGCATTCAATTTGATGAGCTTGGCAGGGAATGTGATGGTAGGCATTTGAGACCATCTAGATGACGCTACAAAATTTTGACTATGGACTAATTCAGTGGCGTAAGAGAACCCACTTCATTCAATATTAGATTCTATTCAATTTACAAGTGGCGATTAGAGAGTTGTCACCAATTCAAATCAAAAAAATAGTGGTGTTCTGGTCATTTTTTGATTAAAGAATGGCATTTTGGTCAAAACAAAATTCCTTTTCTCATTCATTGTGGTTGACATGTTGCACTTGCCTTTAGACAAAGAAGAAAAGGCTGACCTATTGCAGGCTGTACCTTTGCTCACGATTGAAAATATCCTAAAGAAAGCTTATTCGGTAGGTAAACATCATTGTCCACTTGTGGATATTTTTTCATCCATTACTTAACAATGCCGTCTTAAAACGGTCAGTGAAATGATATTTATCTCTTATATTTTAAATAATTAATGTGGATCCACTTAAAATATATGTAAGGATGGATTGGTCTTCAACAACAATGCAAGATACCCAATAAACAACTCATGTGGAATAGAGTGCATCTACATCCGTAACAAGCTCCTCTAACTAAAAGAAATTAATTCATATTTATTATTTGTATTTATGTAGTAATCACAAATCTATAATTCTGGAGCGTATGATAATTTTTTTCAGGCCTTTGCATTGAAAATTCACACTAATCACAAATCTATAATTCCAGACTCCGGAGCATATATTAGTAATAACTTTTTAGATAAAGTACAATAAACTCCTTCAATTATACTCGAAAATCCCTCTTTAACTATATCCAAGTGCAACTAACTTCCCCTGAATTATGGAATTGGTCAAGTTTTTCAGGTTATCTAAAATAGGTAAAGTCTATTTCACCCTTTTTCAAAAGACAGTGCCCAATCACAATAAGAAATAAATTAATAATGTGGTACCCAGTGTAATT